GAAGAGGGTGTGTGTGTGGGGGGGGTCAATTTATTATCTAGAATTAAGGATGAATTTCCTGACTGTGAGGACAATCAGCCAGTGGAACCGCTTGCCACTAGAAACCGTGGCTGCTCCATAACTGGAGGTTTTTAAGAGGAAACTGGCCAGATGTTATAGGGTTTCTTGCGTGAGAAGGTGGGTGGGTGGTCTAGAACATCTCCAAGATCCCTTCTGACTCTTGTTATTCTATACACCCAGATCAGTTAGCCAGTGGAACCGCTTGCCACTAGAAACCATGGCTGCTCCATAACTGGAGGTTTTTAAGAAGCTAGTTAACCCTCGGTCTGGGGTGGGATAAGGTGCCCCGGTTGAGCAGGGGCGGTTGGGCTAGAAGGATTCCTTGCTTCCTTCCAACTCGCCGATCCCATGAAGGACGAGAGACAGGAAGTGAGGAAACGGCCTATTATCCAGCCTGCAAAGCCTGCCGAGGCTTTTTTTTCCCACCAAGCCTCTGGGAGGCCGAAAAAGGCCTCAAACCAGCCGGAAAAAAAATCAGTTGTGAGGCGCACGCATGCGCAGTGAGGCAAGTTTGCCTGCAGCTCCTGTGCCGGCACACATGGCTCCGCCTGGGTTTCCTGCCTGGGCAGTGGGCTGGACTAGAAGGCCTCTGGGGGGACCCCTTCCGACTCTTGCCCTTGTGTCCGCCAGGGCGAGCGCGACCTGCCCTCCGCCACGGCCTCCATGGAGTTCCTGGAGAACCACGGGAAGAACATCCTCCTGTCCAACGGCAACCTGACGGCCACGCGGGTCTCCAGCTACAACCAGGGCATCGTGGTGGTGGCCCAGCCTCTGCCCCCGCAGCAGCTCTTCCAGGTGGGGTCTCTGGGCTGGGCCCCTCGGGGGCTGGAGCTGGCTGGGCCCTCGTGGTCCAACGTCCTTCCTTCTCTCCGTTTCCCTTCCTTCCGTTTCCCTTCCTTCTTTCCTTTCTTGTTTCCATTCTTCCTTCCTCTCTCCCTTCCTTCTCTCTCTCCTCCTTTGATTCCTTCCTTCTTTCCATCCTCCCTCCCTCCTCCTTCCCTTTCTGTTTCTTCCTTCATTCCATCCTTTCTTCCTCTCTCCCTCCCCTTCCTTCTCCTTTGATTCCTTCCTTCCTTCTCTCCTTCCTTTCTTCCTC